AATCGCAGGAAATGTTTGCCATTGATTTTTCTTCACGGCAATTCTTATCGTCGTTGCTAATTGTATTAACATTCCTTTGTTGTTGTGTAATATCGCCTTGACACCCTGTACCTAGTAGCATTTTGTTCTTTTCAGTTTAAGAACGTTGTTTAAGTACTTGTGTATTTTTATAATTGTTGAAAACTAGGATACTATAAATTTTAGTTACTTAATAGAAAATTTATCTGATAGATTAAGTTTTTCCGAACAATCTTGCTTTTATTTTCATCCTGAAATGACGTGAATTTTATATCAAATATGATCCAAATCCGTGTTAGATATGTTTCCCAAGCTCTGTATAATAAAGATTCAATTTTATATATTTTTTTAATTGCAAATAGATTGCATAAGGCCTACTTATGTCGTAGGCATTTCATCCCGTCAATTTTTGGATGACGGATGTTAAGATTATATCTATATGTACGTTACAAAAACAATGAACTGCTATAAATACAAATATAACCATCCACAAACGTACCTATACATTTAATAGTCCACTGCTGGACATATGCATATCCTTAGAAAGGAGGTTTTGGCCTTCTATTTGTACATACCACGCTTTCCGGACGGGGTGATATAGAGGTTGTTTCAAGTTTTCCTTCTCTACGCAGTGCTGTTGCTGTAGTTCGCTTCCTTAGTCGGCTCTTACAACACCCACGGGATGAATGGGGGTGCTGACACTGACACTCTCGTATTCTCAATCCGTCACCACAGAAATAGATATAGAATTGTAGAATACATACATAATAATACACATAGGTATGTATATATAAATCATGACAGTCTAATCTAGTGTTTGTAAGTCTAAAATAAAAGTTTCCACGTGAGCATCTGCGTCGAGATGCAATAAACTGGTTGGAAAACATTTATTTCCAGTATCTGCAAATTAAGGCAATAGAGATTCGTCACTGCGTTGTATTGATCGACATATTCAATCTTTGATTTGAACATTGAACATTTTACCGGTTGCGTTATTCTATTAACACAACAATTTTTCATTGTTGCCTTTCCGGAATACAATTCAACACCTTATTTCTTGTGTGAGTAATGTCAAAAAAAAAACTTTTAATATTTACTTTTTATCGAAATCAAATGCTGTTTGCTTTACAATTTTTTGTTTTTAATTCTTTTACACCTTTTACACCAAAACTACCCACGAATTCGTCTATTTACAGTCAATTTTTCCATCCAAAAGTTGCCTGTAAGAAGTTGCTTTTAGCGATATGACCGTCATTTGTACATGTACAGCAATTCCATGTACCTTATCTATTCTTGTAAAAACAAAAAAAAATGTTGTACAATAAAGTTAATTCTATTATGTTCTAATTTTGTAACTTAAGATAAACTATTTATTATATGTACTTAGCAAATGTCAAGTGGTCTATGAGTCTGAACGCGCTGCTCGAGTAACACGCCGTTGCATGCAAATGAAATGTATAACTATTTTTCTTTAATATCATCTTCAGCGTTATTACAAGGATTTCTGGGTATGTGAAGTGCAAGAAAAATATTTATTTATCAGGTCGTGTGCTGCGATTGGTAAAGAAACACTCGAGTTGCATGTTGGCACAACTTCGATTTGTAATGGTCTACCAGATTTCTAGGTTACGTCTTTATTTATTCATTAAGACATCTATCTGTGGCAATATTTTTATTATTTAGGATTGTGTTCTAGTTTTCTTGTACACATTCTTATCTTATGGCGTTTTTTTGATATTTTTTTATTCTATGGATTCTTGGATCCTACTGTCATAGACCAAATGTCCAATAAAGAATTCTTCTAAGAAATCGCAGTTTTTTTCCTCAATACACCTAATTCAACTTCCAAATAATTAGAGATTTCTTTTTCAGTTGTTGGTGAACTGACAGTAGTATGAATACTTAAATCTAATAATGTCATTTTCCTTATTGTTATTTAGGGTAATTCCGGGGGAGATGGCCATACGGTAGAGATGGCCAATCGAAATATTTCATTGAACGTAGACTAGATGTCGCCAGTTACCATTTAGTTCGCTTCGCGATGTGTGTGTAAGCAAACGTGAAACAACATTTTGGCTAAAAAAATCCAAAAAGTAAGTAAAATCCTTGTCAATTGTTTTGTCTTATGCGTATATTTTTTAATGAGTTAATGTTTTCGATGATTGTGATGTCAGTTTCTTAGAATAATGGTTATTTTTGTATTTATGTCAAAGTACATAAAAAATGTGGCGATATAACCTCAAAATGATGCGTATCACATTTTTACTTGTTTATTTTTTTTGTGTGGCCATCTCACCCGGAAGAAAAGGAGAGATGGCCAGTTTGAGTCGGTATAAGACGGCCATATGGCCATCATACACCGACCGCATACTAATGATGTTTTCTTGAAATAATTTATTTATTTACATAATTGTTTTAGATGCCTAATACATACAAAAGAAAGGCTGCAGCCGTAAGAGGAAATTGGACAGAAGAGGCACTCAAGGCTGCTATAAGTGCTGTCAAAAATGATAGATTATCCGTACGTGCGGCAGCTAATGAGTTCAAAATTCCACGAAAAACATTGGAAAGGAGAATAAAGAAGAATAATGACAAAAAGGGGCCCATGGGACCATCTTCTTTATTTGGGGAAGAAAATGAAAAAAAGTTGGCTGCTCATATCAAGTCTATGCAAGCCAAAGGTTTTCCATTGACAATGGATGATGTCAGAAAAATAGCTTACGACTTCGCGGAACAGTTAAAGTTAAAACATACATTTAACACAGAAACTGAGAAAGCGGGATATGACTAGTTGAAAATGTTTTTAAGAAGAAACACGGATATTAAATTAAGAAAGTCAGAAGGTGTCTCCTTGGCTAGAGCCAACGCTATGAATAGGTCGGAGGTAAACGCATATTTTGATCTTCTTGAAAGAGTCCTCATGGAAGACGATGAGATTTTACCAGCAAATTGCATCTTCAACATGGATGAGACAGGTCTACAATTAAACAGTCGTCCAGGACACGTGCTTGCTCAAAAAGGTTCCAAAGTAGTTCACACAGTAACATCAACTGAAAAAGGAGAGACTATAACTGTCATAGCTTGCTGCAATGCTGAAGGCACGTTTTTGCCACCGGCATGTATTATGAAGGGCAAAAATAAAAAGGCTGAGTTTGAAGATGGTCTGCCTCCAGGCTCAAAACTATTCATGTCACAAAAATCGGCGTATATACTTCAGCAATATTCTTAGAATGGTTGAAAACCCACTTTGTCCCAAGAAAACCTGCTGGAAAAGTTGTACTTTTACTTGACGGACACTCAACTCACTGCAATTCCGTGGAAATGTTGGAGTTTGCTCATCAGAATGAGATTATTTTGATATCAATGCCGAGTCACACGTCTCATTATCTCCAGCCGTTAGATCGTTCGGTATTTAAATCATTAAAAACTCACTTTTATGAACAGTGTAGACTTTGGATGAAACAAAACTCAGGACGTCGCATAACAAGACTTTCTTTCGGAGCCTTACTTAACAGAGCTTGGGGAAAAGCAGCATCGGCGGAAAATGCAATATCTGGCTTTAGAGCAACGGGAGTATATCCTTTAAATCCAGAAGCAATCCCAGACTACGCTTATATTCAAGACCCCATACACAACTTGCCGAGTACTCCTATTTCACGAAAGGATTCACACTCAAATAATTCTGCAGTGGAAGATAATGATGACGTATTTATTCCAAGTACTTCAAATGAGCCAAATAGAGACCCTAGCTATAGCCCTGAAATGGTTCCCAGAAAACCGAAAACCTCATTGAATGCAGCTACTGTATCTAAGGTTTCAAAACCAAGCACTCCAAAAGAAGGTACATCCGGTAACATTGCAAATTATACTCCATCGCGGATTTTGCAGGAAATATCTCCTATTCCGCAAAAGCTTATTGAAGTTCGTAAAAGAGCAAAGCAAGTAGGTACACTATTGACTTCAGAAGAACATATCAATGCTAGAAAATGTGTTGCAGAAAAAACATTAAAAAAAGAAATTAAAAAGGAGAAAGAACCTAAAAAGTGCACTGTGAACAAAAAAAAGGTTATTCAAAAGCTGTCTGATAACAGTGACGATGTTCCTTTAAAAATTTTAGCTGAGAAAACTAAAAAACGAAAAACTAACGAAGAGGATAACTGTCGCGGATGTGGAGAAAACTATTATGAAACCCAGCTAATCGAAGACTGGCTTCAGTGTAAAGTTTGTCAGTTTTGGGTGCACGAGCATTGCACTGAGTTCGATGACTCGTGTTCAAAATGCGGGAAAAAGGAAAAGAAAACCAAAAATTACCAAAATAACTAGGAATAAGGTATGGCCATCTTACCTTTAATATTATGGCCATCTCACCAGGATACTCCGGGAGAGATGGCCAATTGTGATTTAAAAAAAAGTAATCTTTTAAGTGTGATCTCGTTATAATTGTTCCTATTTAGTCTCATATCCTCAAAGTTAATTGTTCAAAGTTTAATTACGAATAAATATTTTTGTACTAATGTGCGAGAGTTTTTTTAATGCCGTTTTAGAAAAACTATGGCCAACTCCCCCGGAATTACCCTAAGTCATTGATTAAAATAACAATTTATTTCGTTTAAAAGTAAACAATGACGACAATAATTCAACCCATGAATGTAATATTAATCTTAACAAAGCGTAAAACATTTGTGTTTACAAGAATCCATGAAGTTGTCTATCATTTATTAGTACAAAAACAAGGCAAGCCTTGAATTAATGCTTCAAAAAACTGTAAATAGAGACAAGTCTCATCCCACGATAATTATAAAACGTGTGTAACATAACAAGATATAGTTGTGTGAAAACTTGACGCTCACATAATCGACGGCGCAAGTTATATGAGTGTTGTATTGAGGTTTTTGTTGCGAAGTCGGCTTCGGGTGTACGCACGCGCCTGCTGACGTTGCACAATTCATGGCGGGCCCCTACTAGCGAACTAGAGACGCGGTTCAGACACCGCCGTTTCCCCCCGGACTTCGCCCCCTGCCGGCACGATACGCCCCTCGCAGCACCACACCCGTCTTCGCCATCGCGCCTTTAGTTGCCCCGCAGCTGCCGCGCGTTACTGTCGCATGCTCTATGCGACCCCGCGATCTCTCTACCGTAATATGGATATACACCAAATTCGCGTTCTTATCAACATCCAGTTCTCTTATTTGTGGATCTGCGAAGTCTTCGACAAATATAAATGGATTATATTGTAAAGTGCCACGAGAAATTATTAGTCTTATAAGGTCCGCATTGGAATTTCTAAAATGGCAAACCGCGGCGCGCCGACGTGTTCGGCACATGGCTTCGTAATAATATGGTGCTTGAGGGAATTACGTCAGGATTTACAACTGTCTGTGTTGCGATAAAGCGAGAGTGTAAAATATTGTGTCTTCACTTGATTAAGAGCTACCTTTTACTCCTGAATTATATTTAAGAAACGTTACTTGCGACGCAGCATGGCGTACTCGTGGCGTCCGTCGTCCACGTTACATTATGGCGGGTTTTCGCTTTCTGGAACTATTATAACTGAATTTATATGAAACTTTATAATATGGAAAATAATGCTTTTCATTAAAATATTCTAATTAGAACTGATAGTGAAGATAATGTATGAGTATTCATAAATACAAGTCGGTGTCGCCTTGGGATACACCCCTATATATATATAGCTAGTGTTTTCAAAGGAACATTGGATGTGTAGGTAGTGAGCATTTAAAATTCCTTAGACGCAGAGAATACTTTACTGCTTTGTTCTTACTACTACTAGGTACAATTTTAACCGAGGTCAGGCTCAAGAAAACGTTTCATACCTTTGAATGAATTTCACGAAACAAACAGCCAATTTATTTTTAGCGTTGGCATAGTATAAATTTAGCACATTTTTTAGAAATTGATTTTAAATATAAATTAAAATACCTATTTCTGTCTGTTTCTGTCTATCGTATAAATGCAAGATATGAAGTAAATGTAAATTTTTGTATTTGCTTGATTTTTTTCATACATATAAATTGTTTATAAATTAGGAACGGTATCACGTACAAAATCAGCTAATCGAAGCAAGCATAGTCCTATTCGACCAAAAAAAATAATTGAAAATGGAAAACCGTCAGTCTAATATGGCGGGCGAATCTGCAGTCGCTCTGCAGACGAGGTATTTGTGTGAGTGAGCTGGAAAATGGTTCTTGTGTGTGTGCCATCACAGAAGTGCAACGTGGCTACAGCATTCCATTGTACTACTACTGGCTATTAGGACACTATAGGCGCAGCTGGAGACATTCTCCGATTGCTTATGTCCTAGTACTTGAACTACTTATAGTTTAAACTCAAAAATATCGTTCATATCAACGTTCTGAATTTTAAAGGAATACTATATAAACGGAAGACGAGTTCGTTTACCCATATCACATCTATAATAAGCTGATTAAACTTGATACACGAGTAAATGACACATTCAAATAAACTTAATTAGAATAAATAACACTAGAGTGGCTTGCTGCAACGTTTACTGCTAAAAGATAAAACCAACCTGAATACTTTTCTGATTAGATATAAATCTATTCTTAGAAGAATGTAGTCAAATGCCATTAAAACAGAACATTTTATTACAGGACTCATTTTCACCACACAATAGTTAAATATACTAGGTGCGAAAAACTAAGAAAATTTATAAATTAAGGTTATGCAACGGGAGATCGCCACGTGGCACTCTCTTAAGCTTTGCGCATGTCCGAGGGATAGAACCATGGCATTGCAAAATTAGACTCCAAAAGTAAAAATTTCTACTAGTTGCTTTGTAGAACAGTTTGAAAACCATCAGTAACATAACATTGGAAGTAAGGCACATAAATAGCGCTAGAGCAAATGGAGATAAGATAACTCCGCTTCAATTAAAAGTTTGCCATGACCGTGAATATTCCACGTCGCAATATGTGAAAGTCGTTGGAAATGAGATTCCAGTGAAAATTTCCAGATACACACGTCCAATTAATATTGTCTGATAAAGCCACGTGGCGGGAGGCTCCATTGCGCATGTCCACTACCACGTCTCAGCTGAGTTCTGAGAAAATCGTTACCACCATCCATCGCACCTTCATACCGACACGTGGTATGTTGAAAATATGGGATGAAAAACGACTTATTTATCTATATATTTAATATCCCTATCTTATACTATTTTTGATCTAAGTGTGTATAATCTTTAGTTTTACATTACATACACAAGAGATAAAATTACAAAATAATTTATTATGTATACAAAGTTTTGTTATACGATTCGATGTTATCAAATTAAGCTCTTGGGTGTTCTAATTTAAAATTGCGATTAGTAAAACTATAATCTTTGATATCGATTAGCTATTTTGAAACATTAGACTGATAAGGCCGTATCGCTTCCGAACAATACAAAACGAGAATTATTTAATATGATATGTGAGTGTTCCAGCCAATTATTTCCTAAGAGGTAATAGGAGTACAATGTAAGCAAAACTTTTCATCAATACGGCTATAAACTTAGTAGGCTTATTTACCTGTAATCCTATTTTCTTTACTGCTTCTGCTTATTACTTTTTTAGTAACCTAAATAATCTCATTCTACCTAATCCCAAACTTCATCGCGGAACATTTTTAGGTCGAAATTCTCTGGAATCTAATACGCGCTCGTACTGATTTCGGATTTTTATTGCCGTCTTATTTTCTAACTAAATCCATTATATTGTTGAATGATCGCTGCCTTTTTGTAACACTACAATAGATAATGTACAGTGCATTGTTAAAATTATACTTCGCAATCGTACACAATCCGACCTTTATCAAGTTCCACGTGACATATCCATTTCTGTATGTGCATAGTGCATGCGTTCTTTGTGTCTGCCAAGTCGACTTTCTCTTCCTTTGGATATAAATATCAATAAAGTTTCCATAAATAGAGATCATATTTTAACAATGAATCTTGAAGTCCATAGAATAGTATAATCATTTGAAATGGTAAATACACTGTCAATGAAAAAGTATATAACACATTTTTTATTAGGTCATATCTTCATCCCGATATACTTTTGTCGCTCTTCTCTTAAAAAAAAAACAATCAAACTTACATATCACGGGACCGTCTGCATCCATGAGGTATGGTACAAATGATATGTAACGTGAGATATTATTTGTTACCATTAGATTATTTTTAGACGTAAAGTGTCTTGTTTTGTGAGTGCGACCTTGATTGGTCATGTCTAGACGACCTTGCCGTCACCAGAGAATGTGAATTCTACGTCCGTTTTAATTAATGCCATTTATATTATTAGTTCGTATAATGACATTTACGGAGACTACCTGTCTCTGCCAGTCAACTTTCACAAGTATTCAATGAGAACTTAATCTGCGATCTTGTTGTATCACGGAAGCGCTTAGATCTAACGCGGAAGACTTGTCTCTTTACCCCGGTACACGACACGTAATATACTTACACTTATACAGCGGCGCCAAGGCTGATGTGCATAATTAGCCTCGTTATATTTACTGGGAAAAATGACCTATCTGAACTTTAAACGACTTTTTTATACTTATCTACGAGTATATTTAAATGCATTCTTAAATATTTGTCATTCTCGATATATACCCTGATCTGGAGATTGAAGGTTGTGTTTCAGTATATATATAAGCTCATAATAAATAATATTTTCTTTTTTGTTATAAACGTTTGTTTACATAGTATGTAGTGATGAATCGACGTGCAGGTGAAGGTCATGGTCGAGTCGGCGCCTGGACGTGGAATGGCTCACATGACTTGTTGTTTGTATGTGCGCCGCTCCGTAGTCGCGTTAGCGTGTTCGAACGCTATTGGTCGGCTTTCACAAACCTCGTTACATAAATGATCCTACATACCTCTACTTCTATAACCTAAGATGGTTATTGAAACGTTCCTCTTATTTTGTTCCCATATTTTCTTTAAGTTTCTTTTACCATATTTTTTTCTGAATTTTAGTTTTTCTTATCAACCTCTAATTCTGTCATTAAATATTTACTACAGCTTTATGCTCAGCTGTTTAGGTATGGAGGTCATCAACAAATGTAACGTGAGGGTCACACACATTTAGTCTGTAAGACCTTGTCTGCCTAACTCATGCGGTGTATTCACAATGGGTAAATTCCGGTACATGTGTTTTTAACCGCCAATGATTCATGTTCCATTGATGTCATCGCTTTAATGTTTGAATCGTCTTAATATGCTCATATTTTCAAGATACATATTTTTTCATGTTCATGCATGTTATCAAATGTTATTATTTAGAGCTCTAGTTCAAATATTTAGCCCAACTGATGTAGTGATAACTCAATTTAATATGTACATTTTACACACGTCATCTTTTGTATTTCAAAAATGTTAGTTTAGCTTGTTTGTTCCCATATTGCAAAGAGATGTTTAAAAAACAAATCTGTATATATTTAAATGTATGTTACCTCGAGATTCGCAAGTTTTTGAATACATTCTGTTTGGAATAGTATTCATATTTTATCAAGATCTGTCTGCTTTTAGCTATCCAATGTCCGTTAGTTTTGAGATGACCGTTGGATTGTGGGACCGTTGATTTGCCATTTATTCGTTTTCGACTGTCCTTCCTCCGTATTTTATTAACATTCTTTGGTTAGCTGTCCTTAAAATTAGTATCTGTATAACCGATTGTTGAAATATCTCATATTTTTGAGTATCATATCGAAATGAAACTTTTTATATAATATATGAAGTTTAGAACGATGACCAAAATATAATTTAGCATCTTCAATATGATCTGATGAATGAGCCTGGAGGTCCATAACATAATTGTTTAATTGCTACTAGTATACCCCTCAAGGATCAGTTCATATTGAATTTGTTTTAACGAGTTCAAGACGATGAGATTGCAGTTATAGCGATGGTCTGATCATGAAGGATGTGGACAACGGAACTCTTTTTTTACCTTTCAACTCGGTTTGCCAGTCAATCGTATTTTTTAGTTATACTACACTCTACATTTATTTATTGACAATAAAATACTCTAGATTCATTGTTACAGTGTCTAGTATTACTGTAAGTTATTACAAGGCATATCGCAATAAGGCATAAACAACTATTTTACGGTCCGTTTGTATCGAGACAAGATTTCTAGCCGTGAGCGATTAGGGATCGGTGTATAATGTAGCCTCATTTCAATAAGCTTTACGCTTGGTCCTGGCAGCGCCAGGTGAAAATTTACTGAATTTATGCTGTCTGCCGATAACGGTTGTTTATTTGCCGCTCCTATTGAGAACTCACTTTTGACTTTAAGTC